ATTCCGCCCCTTCGAGCGCAGCACTAACGCTAGTCGCGAGAATTAACACGTAGTTCGGTAGCCCTGACCTAAACCTAACCGATATTAATACTATCACAGTACAATACATCTGTACACAACATTATTGACCATCATATACTGTAATGCAAACTTGACATACTACCTATATCCACCTAAACCTAACCGATATTAATATTATCACAGTACAATACATCTGTACACAACATTATTGACCATCACATACTGTAATGCAAACTTGAAACTTTGAGAATTAGAGGCATTGCACATCAGTGGGTAAATCTTATCTTTCAAATCATTGTCAAGAAGTCACAATCAAGCATGTTAGAAATAAAAAGATTTTTACACATTTTTCCCAACCTACAATGATAAATTATGGAGTACCACAAGGATCAATCCTAGGTCCTATAAATACTATTTCTATTATACATCAATGACATGCCCCTGACCCTCCGAAAGGGCAAAATGGTCCTATGACACAAACATCATTATTAAAGGAAATACCCAACAAACTCTACAAAAATAACCACAAACAGTCCTAGAAGCACTAATAAAATGGTTCCAGGAAATAAAATAATCATAAACACCAGTAAACATGTCTCCTTAAACTCTTGGAATCCATTCTAAAGAAAAGCCTCCTTCATAATTGTTTATAAAAAACATGTCAGTAAAAATAGCCCAAAAATCAACTTTACTTGGATTGACTATTCAAGATGATCTAAAATGGAACTCCCATATCACAGATCTAAACAACAAGCTTATTAAGTCATGTTAAACCATTTACATCCTTAAGTCACATTCTAACTTATATACACTGTGAATGGTGTACTTTGCAAATGTTAACTCACTCCTAAAATATGGAATATATAGAAAGTATTCACACTTTCATCAACCAAAAACGAATATTGAGAATAATGGCACTCACTCACAAACAAGAGTCCGGCAAACCACTGTTCATAAAATTACAAATACTGCCACTCCCATGCATGTACATATTTGAAATATTAATCTTCCCAAAGAAGACAATTATGGGAAACAAGGATTATGTTACTCTAAACACAGAAGTTCATAACTATAATACTAGAAAGAAATCTGCATGTCCCACACAATGAAACTTTACGCTTTCAAAAAAGTACCCTTATAGAAAGCATTACTCTCCTCTCTAATAAACTCTCTTGAGAATTTAAAAGCTTAAACTTGATACCCTCAATAAAAAATAAACTGAAATATTTCCTGTCACAACATACATTCTACAGCACAAAACATTATATACATCATAAACACATATCTACATCAATATAAACTAGCACTAATAACTTTTGCATGTTTTGAAATCCCCCATAATGGTTGTTGGATATAAAGGATGAACCCAGCCCAGGCATGAATCTCCTAAAGAGACCCCCCCTTTTCCCCCTCTTTCTTTTATTACTGTGATACAAATATATAACTTTCTGATGAGCAGAACAGTCTACCGATTTTCTATAAAATTGATATTCCCCAATCGATCTGGCTGATGTCGCGGCCCTGTGAATTCGAAATCGATATTTTAATTTGTGAGGGGGGTTGTACTTTATATGAATCTCCTAGGACATTGGGACATTTAAAAAAATGGCTCCTTCATTTTCGATTATTTTTTGTTGTTGGATGACATGAGTGCGGAGGATGTTTAAGAGAATAGTGTAGATCTCATTTTCGTTAGAAGCTCGTGTTATGCGAAAATTGCAAAAGTTGAAAATTTTATTGGGCGTCTTTCTACAATTACTATTATGAAGATAGAGATATGTTCCTTTAATGAAATATGTTTCTTAAGGATAGATTTTTTTTCAACTTTCCCCCCACCAGTAACCCTGGCGAGGCGGGAGTTTATTTCGTTCTTGGGGTACAACATACGCCGCAGCTCTATGGC